ATGCTGTTTCCCTCTCCATTTTGCTTGACAAGATGTCTATTACTCACTTCATAAATGAATTAAGCAGAATTTGAAAAGGTGTAATAAACATCCCAGTGTTCAGGTATTTCACCTGTTCTCTGCTTCTCACTATATATGTAACACAGCAGACCACTTCTATAAGCTCTTCAGAGGTTATTGTCTCATCACAGGCACTCAAACTATGACAGCTAAAGTTAGCTGAGAKTAACCTCATTGCATTTTTGTCTTCTTAAATTCTGTGCAACTGTCTTTAGAACCCAAGGTCTGAGCTGCAGAAATGCTGAGCAACGAAAATGAAAGAAAATGTTACTCCAAGCATAGAAATTACTGTATAAAGCTGTGTGGAGAGCTGAGTCTCAGGAGTCCCCAAATCAATAGATACTTTTATCTTACTCGTTGTGTTTCTAGTTTAGCATAGGCAGAATAATGACCCCACATCTCAAAGGAATTTTTTGAAAAAAGTTTAATTGTATTATTTATGAAGCTCCAAATACACTAATGAGTCCCAGAGTACAGCCCAGGGGAAATGAATAATTTCTTCAAAGGAGGATTTGAATAGCGAAAGTAGATAAAGCATGAGASTACACAATAAAAATAGATATATATTGATTAGCTATTCATTACATGAAATTAACAGTGCAGAGGTGTTGTGAAAAAATATGAAAGTGTGATTTCTTTTAAGAGAAGCTTTGTTTAACTTGAGAGAGAGCTAATTTGCTGAATGGTAATATCTAGTGCTCTGAGTCTAATGTTTAGTGCATTTAATAAAATTTAATAGAGCAAATATTTAATTTTTTAGTTTTTTAGAATAACTAATACACTGAAGAAGCACAAAAAAATGTGTTTTATATCTTCTAACTGGTTAAGTCTCTCAAATAGGTAGTAATATCAAGACTTTTTTTTTTTCCTTTCATGTCACAATATTCATGTGTGATGAATATGTAACAATTTATGTTCACAAATGAATTCAGTTCTAGCAGGAAGAAGGAGGAACGAGATTTTATATGTAACAGAACAGAAATTCTCAAAATGTCTTCAGGGGATAGAATACATTTTTTAAAATAMCTATTTTTAAATGTTAAGATTTACCTCTATTTTTTATGCAAACAAGGATGAATGTGCAAATTACATCCGTGTCCTTCATCGATACAACAGAACACATCTTCTGGCTTGTGGAACAGGAGCTTTTGATCCACTCTGTACATTTATTAGAGCTGGACATTCATCAGAGGTAAGAAATCTATTTTATATATATGAATCTTTTGCTCTGTATTTCAGAAAGTCCTCTCTAGTTAAAAATAAATATTTAAATTCAAGTGGTCATAGCTCTTAAGCAAAAAAAAAAAMAAGGGATAATTTTACTGATGAAATCTAATGATGGTCCAAAATTTAGCCTCCCTAATAAGTAAAGACAGAGTCTAGATAATTATACAAAGTATTGGAAACCCTTTTCGCCCTAAAGCTTTATTACTAGTTGAACTGACATAATATTTCTTAAAGCAAAATTATTATTACGTATTCTTGTTTTTCTCTTTTTAGCTGAATCTCTATTTTTAGGTAATAATAAGACAAAAGCACAAATCTTTGGTACCTTTAAAGACGGATTTTTTTTTTTCCTAAATTCATTTTGTTAATGTTGTTCACATTCAGGAAGTCTATGTTAGTTCCTTAACAACACTTACAGGTGAGTGAGATAGTACTATAGTGGAAGTCAGTAAATGATGTATATAATCTATATTGTCAGTGCATTTTCATGCAAAAACACAAGCTTTCTGAATTTTTTAGAAATGTGTATCATCGCAGTCTAAGTGCACCAATATCTTACTTTAAATTGGTATGCAAGCTTCCTTAGGCACTGGACCTGCTCCTGATTACATAAAATCTGTGTGCCACTGAATGAACTCCAAAATGCAGTTGGTCCTGCTTACACCTGCCTTCATCCTGCTCTCATTGCCCCTCTAAAAACACTCACAGGATTTATGAACATATTTTGAAGCTCCCTACATCCTAAAGCGTTCTTGAGAGCCTGATTAAAGATATAACTTGCATTACAAGGTCTGGACCTTACAAGTCCTGTTATAAACATCCAATCAAAAGTTCAACATGAAAATTGGCCACTTCATCACATAGTTAGCAATGCCAGGGAGATCTTTTTTTTTTTTTTTTATTACAAGACAGAAAGAATGGAGCTTCTTTGGTTCCTCAGCCTCTTTTAMTTTTGGTCAGTTTTGATTACTTTCCAGAGTCTGAGAAGAAATGAARGTGTAGTTAATTGTTTTATAGTCCTCAGAGACAGTTCTGTGAAGTCAATGGACTTCACAGTCCTTCACTGTCCACAGGAATATGGCGTGGGAAATGAAAAGTGAGCCAGTGAAAGGGGTAGGACTCCAGTAAACAGAAGAAGTTGTAGGAGGTGCCACTGTTTTATCTGGGCTGCCCTGAACTTGGAGGAGGCCTTGAGTAGGCTACTAGAGTGAAACATTGATAACCACTGTCTASGAATCTGGAGAAACTGGGTTGCATCTGGTGCATAAGGGGACATGACACAAGAAGACCATCTGTAACCCAGGGCGAGAAGGTCTTTTCCTGGCAAATTTCAGTAACAGATGATGGATGATAAGCTTGCTTACTTGAGTACTATATGATGGATTTTCATGGTAAAGCTCTCCTCAAGAGCATGAAGCGCAGGTGGTACTGAAACACCATCCAAGAGAATTCTTGTACACCCCAAGGCAAAGAAAGAAGGGATTTCAAACTGGTTACAACTATATGAGTCCACATCAAAGGTGGTTTATATTGTATGCTATTGTATGTCCAGACCATTTACATATGTAAAAGAAACAGTGCACATGTAAAAGTGCACATATGTAAAAGAAGGAGTGTAAAAGAAGCAGTGTATACTGCTACATTTTTGCCAAAGCTTCATCCTTCCTTTTAARTGTGGTTTTAGCCAAGCATGAGACTACAAAGAAGACATCCAATTTTTTTCTTAGTTATCTCAAAACAATTTTTCTTTCTTTTTTTTTTTTTCCAATTTCTCACAGATTTTCAGTTTAAGTCCTTCTAGCCTCACTAGTTTTATTCTGTATCTTAATCTTTAGGTGCTATTACCAATATTTAGCTGACACTTTTGTACATAGTGAGTTAAATCAAAAATTCAGACCCAGATTCCCACCCAATATTACTTATTGGGCTGTGTTCSTTGGGAGAAATAGGAAAACTGAAAACAAGAGACTGGAGTTGATTTAAAATAAGCACTTAGCTAATTAGATAAATATGAGTACAACATATAAATATTTGTAAAGTGTACTCATATAAGTCAACAAAGGCATTTACTTTCATAAACTTTGTGTTGAAGTAGCCTTTCTGAGGAAAGAGACATTCCTTTGTTCCTGGTCATGTGGTTCTAGTTTGCCKTGTCACGCTCCAAGGTCCAGTCCATGCTGTGCACCTCCCTCAGCTATCAGAAGTACCTTGAAAGTTAAGACCCCAGTGTTGCTACTTGAAATTATCTGAATTGCACAAAGACACTGTCTGCTAAAATTGAGGAAGGAGCTATGYAATTGGTAATTATTTTAAAAGAAGACAACTTTGCTTGTCTTCATTGAGCTTGTCATGAACCTCCTGTCAGACTTCCAGGTGAAATTTAAAGGAAACGATGTCTGTATTTTTAGGAATACTATTTAGGAAAGTATAAGCAATGAGCTGACAAAAATAGAAACCAAGCAAATAAAATTTGAGAAGCAAGATTTGCTTACGACTGAGTATGGCCCATGATCTTCCTCTTATCTATCACTATCCTTCCTTGCCTTCTTTTTATTACTCTTTCTTGTCTTTAGAATTGAACTTCTAAAATTTTACTCACAATGAAGTCATGGGAAAATTACCACTTTACTGTCTGTGTAGACCAACAGAAAATATGTTTGCAACAATAAGAAGCAGCTATACCAGTTGCCAGTATTTGGAAAGCTGGCTATCACAGTTAAAAAAAAAAAAAAAAAAAAGACATATGCCCTAGGTATGAAAGGTTGAAAATAACATATGGTATGTGATAGAGCGGGCAAATTGCAGTCTTGTTTCCTGTGACTGATAAGGATACCATAAAACTGCAGGGACCAAAAGAATCAGATCCCCAAATTGCATTTCAGATTCTGATAGTTGCTTTCTCCGTGAAATAGCCTCCTGAACCAATGACTGCTGATTATTTTCTGCTAGTTTCCTCCAGGTCAACTCTTGCCTCTTGCCCAATTTCTGACTTTCACAGAAAAGGGAGAATAATGAACGATGGACAGCTGCTCCCCAAAGTCATAAGGTTTAGGGAAACAGCCCAATCAGGGTATACAGAGATCGTCAGTGCAGCTGGCTCACAGCCAGACTCAGCTGGAGCAAAGAGATAGCATCATAATCCTTGCATTTTTCTGAACTCATTTTTATTACTAAGGACATTTGTACAAAAACAGGCTTTCTTTTCCTTAAAAACTTCTATTTTCTTCCCATCTCATATCACAGTTCCTCACAGGTAGCTTTATAGTGTGCTCCACAGCTTCTAAACATGTTGCTAATAAACAGAAAGTGTGATTAAGGAAATTTTAATATGAGGTGGAGACAGTACTAAGCAGAGGAAGTATCTACATAAATACCTGAAGTAAAATAAAATAACAGTACAAATGAATAAATAGTAGATGAATACAGAAAATGTCAATTWAAAAAAAACCTTTTAAAATGTGATGAGCTCATCCTATTTATAAACAAGACCAAAACATGTTTCTTAAAAAAAAAGTGAACTCTAGACTTTTTATTAGAAAGGTGAATGCATATTTATAATGTGTAGTTACTGTGTGAAAGGAACTATTTTTTGAGGTTGTTGATGTTTTTACTAAGTATGTTGAACTCCTGCATAAGTAAAATCTAATTTTGATTTTAAAGCTAAACAGCTTCTGAAGGGAATCTCTTTAAATAGCACTRGATGTATTTGAAGCTTATACACCTATTTGAAACAATAACAGTTYCCAGACATGTTGGAGTGGGAGGAGAATAGGAAGCTGTTATAGCAGACTTCTGGGTATCCAGATATATGGCAAGAGAAGAATATAAAGCAGGATTCACTCTTCTATATGGGTCTATGTATCAGTATCATAAATAAAAGGGTAATACTTGCTTCCCTTAAGCATGTATTTCATCAGTGTTTCTTGAGCCAAGAGAAGATGTAACCAACTATGTAAAACTGTAGGTTATTAGGTTATAATAGGAATGTTAATAAAAATTAAAGACATAGCAGTTTCAGAACTTGATAGAATAGCAGGACTCTATTTTTTACATTAGCCATTTTTATTTACTAAACAGGTCCAATTTGGTGTGAGAAGATGTCCCATTGACATTTCTGTTCCTGAGGGGCTCCAATCCTGTGCTGCAGAAAAATATGTTTCACTATTGGTTAATAACATAAGTTTAAAAGCCATTAAACAAGAAAATGGAACATTATAGTCCTTCATTTTAACTATGATAATAGCCCAGAGTCATGTTCATATCTATACTGCATGGCATGCTGCATGCTGATTGAGTATTTCAGTAAAAAGGCAATGTTTTAACAAAAAGAAGCATTCTGCCTCCTGGATAAATTCTGCCTTATATTCTTACATAACTACAAATTCATCCTTTCTCATCAAGAACAGGCATAAGCAGTGTCTTGCAGAACACTGAGCCCTGTCAACTGCCTGTGAAGGCRAAAGGAGATTTCAATCTGAAAGAAAAGGACAGAATTTGGTTGCCGGATTGGCCTCCTTGGACTTAAGGAAAATTAGAAATTTTAAGTTTATCAAAACATAAAATAAAATGTATGGTCCCCAAATCATCATTTTCTTTTTTTATATAACAATTGAAAGATGCTTTAAAATATTTCACAATACAATTGTACTATGATATATAATCCATGTTTAAATCTTTCTTTCATTAAAACACTTCATGGTTTATAAAAATAACATGATACTATTTCTTTGGATTTAATATATATGTAGTCATATTTGAATATTATGATCATAATAAGCAACATTTATCAGATTCATGGGATTCTGCCTCAAGCTTGGCTGTACCACTAGAGTCAAACCAAATACCTTTTTTCTAAAACTAATTATTTATATTTCTTAGACACAGTATATAGCCAGCTCCAAGATTAACTATAAGCAGATGAATGTAGAAATTTTATTGTAATATTGGTTTAAATGTTATAACTTT